TTTTTTTTTTTTCTTTTTTTTTTTTGTGAATGCACGTGTATACTCATAAGTAACTGCATCTGGAGACCTGTCATTGTTTTATATTGTACAAAATATCTTCATTGTGGCTATTTCCCCAAATGAAACATTTTTGTGTTTAGAAAATTCATCAGAAATGTGTGTAACTGATCTGCTGGCAGTAGTGATATTTTGTTTTAGAATGTTGTGACATAGCAGAAATAATTCAAATGTTTCCCCTTTTTGTAGCTTTGACAATTTGAACTAGATTTCAAATAAAATCTGAACAGAAAATTAAGATGTGGTTTTCTTGCTCAGATGGTGAATCTTTCAAAGCGTTCATAGTTTGTTTGGAAGTACTGTGTATTTCAGACATACTGTGTTTAAAAACTTTCTTCAGTATACTATACATCAACAGCTGTGGTCTCATTTTTTGTTAGTTTGTATACCAAGATGAGAGCACCTTGGGATCCATCTGATAACCTTATTTCTGATTGTGGTACTTTAACATTGCAGGTTATGGTCCATGTGGACATTAATTAAAAAAAAATATTGTGGTCTACTCTAAGAGTATTCTCCATTTTAAGTATAGGGAATATCTCAGAAACCAGAATGAATTTAGATGTACCCCTAGAGGGGTTGTATGCACAGTGATACATTAATAAGCCATATTAATGACATATCTGTGGGAATGTTGACAGGAAAGCAAGGTTCAAGACTTGAATGACTTTTCTCACTGAATATAGTTACAATGATTGCAATATAGTACATCCTGTATTGGTTTTTCAAAAGTAGATTTTTATTCCAAAAGGAGAGCTTTTACATGATGTGTTTTTATTAAATGCATTCCTTGGAAATTGTTCAAAATGGGACACATATTAGGGTTTAATATATATTTATTTATTATTTTGGAACCAAAAGGCTGCTAACTTTCTTCATTTTAGGCTGCCTCCTGCTCTACCTGTTTTAGGTATTGATGTATATCCCTTCATCTTGCTCTTCATCACTTAACTCTCTCTCATTTGGGGACTGTAGGATGTCCAGAGCATTCGGTGCTTATCTTTGGAGACACGGGCAATTTGTAATAAAAAATTAAAATAAAAAGGTTCCTGGACTCCTGTGAAATGTTTCTAAAAGCTGCAGCTGTGCTTTATTATAGCCATGGAGTGCTGGATGTACTGATAGGCTGGTGTATCTGCAGCTTTTAAAGTCTTTGAGTTTTACAGGTGGGACAGTGAAAAATTTGTATATTTTATGTGCATAGCTTAAGATGCTAAAGGTGGTTACAAAAACAGGATAAAAATATTCTTTAATAAAGTCTGCATATTTGCTTTTCTAATCTTCTTTACCTTTTCCCATTGGTGCCTTTGATCTAATAATACCTACATTTATAGATGGGATGGTTCCTAAATGAAACATTACTGAGTGTTGTGCCTGATAACCTAGGAACTGACGGAGACATTCTGGATCTTTTAGAAATACAAAGATAGTTCATGATGTGTATTGTAAACTCTATTAGAGTATTGACTAGTTGCATCACATATAAGAAATGAATAATTTGTTTGAGTTCTATATGAAAATGCTATATAAACCTATTTTAGCAATGTTTTAGTCTCGGCCCTATTGGTTAAGATGCAATATTTGTTCTTAAGGTGTTCTTATCCTTTGGCTTATAGAACTAGGTAGGTGTAATACTATGAATTCAGCTGCAAATAACAGCACCATGTGCTGTCCTTGTAGCTTGCAATGTGCCACCTCTGCCCCTTTCTGCAGTCTCACCCCGCTCTCTGTTGCCGCCTCCACCACTGCCTTTGCCCCGTTCCTCTGCCCCCCATGTCTGATGGAATCAGGTGCTGGAATCTGGCCTGGACTGCCACTACCACTGCAGCTACTGGGGCTGGAGCAAACGTGCTCCAGGCTGGAGGGGGGGGCCAGTGTCTGCCACGGTTGGAAGGATGGTAAGTGGCAGGAGACATGGGGGGGAGGAATGGGGCAAAGGCAGTGGTGGAGGAGGCAACAGAGAGCGGGGTGAGACTGCAGAGAGGGGCAGAGGTGGCACATTGCAGGCTACAAGGACAGCACATGATGGGGGGGCCAAGTGGGGGAGTCAAGGGGTAGGGCAAGGGTCACACTACTTGAC